GAAAACTCAAGAGAATGCAGAGCACTTGGAAACTGAAGAGAATGCAAAGCATTTGGAAAATCGAAGAGAATGCAAAGCATTTGGAAACTGAAGAGAATGCAGAGCATTTGGAAACTGAAGAGAATGCAGAGCACTTGGAAACTGAAGAGAATGCAAAGCATTTGGAAAATCGAAGAGAATGCAAAGCATTTGGAAACTGAAGAGTATGCAAAGCATTTGGAAACTGAAGAGAATGCAGAGCACTTGGAAACTGAAGAGAATGCAAAGCATTTGGAAACTGAAGAGAATGCAGAGCACTTGGAAACTGAAGAGAATGCAGAGCATTTGGAAACTGAAGAGAATGCAGAGCATTTGGAAACTGAAGAGTATGCAGAGCATATGGAAACTGAAGAGAATGCAGAGCACTTGGAAACTGAAGAGTATGCAGAGCACTTGGAAACTGAAGAGAATGCAGAGCACTTGGAAACTGAAGTGAATACAGAGCATTTGGAACATGAAGAGTATGCAGAGCATATGGAAACTGAAGAGTATGCAGAGTACATGGAAACTGAAGAGAATGCAGAGCACTTGGAAACTGAAGAGAATGCAGAGCACTTGGAAACTGAAGAGAATGCAGAGCATTTGGAAACTGAAGAGAATGCAAAGCATTTGGAAACTGAAGAGAATGCAAAGCATTTGGAAACTGAAGAGTATGCAGAGCATATGGAAACTGAAGAGAATGCAGAGCACTTGGAAACTGAAGAGTATGCAGAGCATTTGGAAACTGAAGAGTATGCAGAGCATTTGGAAACTGAAGAGAATGCAGAGCACTTGGAAACTGAAGAGAATGCAGAGCATTTGGAAACTGAAGAGAATGCAAAGCATTTGGAAAATGAAGAGTATGCAGAGTACATGGAAACTGAAGAGAATGCAGAGCATATGGAAACTGAAGAGTATGCAGAGCATTTGGAAACTGAAGAGTATGCAGAGCATTTGGAAACTGAAGAGAATGCAGAGCACTTGGAAACTGAAGAGAATGCAAAGCATTTGGAAACTGAAGAGAATGCAAAGCATTTGGAAACTGAAGAGAATGGAAAGCATTTGGAAACTGAAGAGTATGCAGAGCACTTGGAAAATGAAGAGAATGCAGAGCACTTGGAAACTGAAGAGTATGCAGAGCATTTGGAAACTGAAGAGTATGCAGAGCACTTGGAAACTGAAGAGAATGCAGAGCATTTGGAAACTGAAGAGAATGCAAAGCATTTAGAACATGAAGAGTATGCAGAGCATATGGAAACTGAAGAGAATGCAGAGCATATGGAAACTGAAGAGTATGCAGAGCATTTGGAAACTGAAGTGTATGCAGAGCATTTGAAAACTCAAGAGAATGCAGAGCACTTGGAAACTGAAGAGAATGCAAAGCATTTGGAAACTGAAGAGAATGCAAAGCATTTGGAAAATGAAGAGCAAGCAAGGCATTTGGAAACTGAAGAGAATGCAAAGCATTTGGAAACTGAAGAGAATGCAAAGCATTTGGAAACTGAAGAGTATGCAGAGCATTTGGAAACTGAAGAGAATGCAGAGCATTTGGAAACTGAAGAAAATGCAGAGCACTTGGAAACTGAAGAGTATGCAGAGCATTTGGAAACTGAAGAGAATGCAAAGCATTTGGAAACTGAAGAGAATGCAAAGCATTTGGAAATCGAAGAGAATGCAAAGCATTTGGAAACTGAAGAGTATGCAGAGCACTTGGAAACTGAAGAGAATGCAAAGCATTTGGAAACTGAAGAGAATGCAAAGCATTTAGAACATGAAGAGTATGCAGAGCATATGGAAACTGAAGAGTATGCAGAGTACATGGAAACTGAAGAGAATGCAGAGCATATGGAAACTGAAGAGTATGCAAAGCATTTGGAAACTGAAGAGAATGCAAAGCATTTGGAAACTGAATACTATGCAGAGCATTTGGAAACTGAAGAGAATGCAGAGCATTTGGAAACTGAAGAGAATGCAGAGCACTTGGAAACTGAAGAGTATGCAGAGCATTTGGAAACTGAAGAGAATGCAAAGCATTTGGAAACTGAAGAGAATGCAAAGCATTTGGAAACTGAAGAGAATGCAAAGCATTTGGAAACTGAAGAGTATGCAGAGCACTTGGAAACTGAAGAGAATGCAGAGCATTTGGAAACTGAAGAGAATGCAAAGCATTTGGAACATGAAGAGTATGCAGAGCATATGGAAACTGAAGAGTATGCAGAGTACATGGAAACTGAAGAGAATGCAGAGCATATGGAAACTGAAGAGTATGCAGAGCATTTGGAAACTGAAGAGTATGCAGAGCATTTGAAAACTCAAGAGAATGCAGAGCACTTGGAAACTGAAGAGAATGCAAAGCATTTGGAAAATCGAAGAGAATGCAAAGCATTTGGAAACTGAAGAGAATGCAGAGCATTTGGAAACTGAAGAGAATGCAGAGCACTTGAAACTGAAGAGAATGCAAAGCATTTGGAAAATCGAAGAGAATGCAAAGCATTTGAAACTGAAGAGTATGCAAAGCATTTGGAAACTGAAGAGAATGCAGAGCACTTGGAAACTGAAGAGAATGCAAAGCATTTGGAAACTGAAGAGAATGCAGAGCACTTGGAAACTGAAGAGAATGCAGAGCATTTGGAAACTGAAGAGAATGCAGAGCATTTGGAAACTGAAGAGTATACAGAGCATATGGAAACTGAAGAGAATGCAGAGCACTTGGAAACTGAAGAGTATGCAGAGCACTTGGAAACTGAAGAGAATGCAGAGCACTTGGAAACTGAAGTGAATACAGAGCATTTGGAACATGAAGAGTATGCAGAGCATATGGAAACTGAAGAGTATGCAGAGTACATGGAAACTGAAGAGAATGCAGAGCACTTGGAAACTGAAGAGAATGCAGAGCACTTGGAAACTGAAGAGAATGCAGAGCATTTGGAAACTGAAGGGAATGCAGAGCAGTGGGAAACCGAGGAGCAAGCAGAGCATTTGGAACATGAAGAGTGAGTAGCTTTGCACATGCCTATGAGCAAAGGAATATTCCGAATACACAGTATAACTTCATGTGGCAATTCAGAAAATGAAACATAAAAGGAAGGGGGAAAACTTTCTTCATTATTCCAACTCAAACATATTACCTAGATCAGGGCAACGGTGGAGTCTCGTAGTTAAAGCTTTCACTCATCACAACGAAGACCTGAGTTCAACTCCCTGCATGGATACAATGTGTAAAGCTCATTTCTCGTGTTCCCGCATGATGTTGCTTGAATATTGCGAAAAGCGCCGCTATACACATTTCACTCAATATTATTTACATCATAGGGAAATTAGATTGACTGATGTCAAAGACCGAAGTTGTATTCCATTTGGCAGACTAGCTGCAATGATCAACAATAAGCCAAAAACAGCTTAGACAACTTAATCAACAGCAAAGGGTTCATTTCAATAGAGTCTCAACAGTTATCTCCCTTGAACAGCAACTGGTAAGTCTTCGGTAAAAGGAAAAAACAGATGGTTAAGATTCTGTGTCACCATGGTAACATACTCTCACAGTTCGACGACAGTGACCCCAGAGGAAATATTCTCAAGGACAAACAACATCATGCCTTTTCACCCTGGCAACGGTTTTATGTTAAAGTCAGCCATCGCCAACAGAAATCTCCAGTTAATGCCCATCTAATTTGCATGGATTAGTCCACAAGTTTAATTTTGTAATATTTTCTGAAACATCTGTCAGCACTTGGTGACGTGTGGTGAAATTGGGTTTAACGTCGTGCTTGAGAATATTTCGCTCACATGACGACGTGCATGCGTGTGTGTGTGTATGTGCGGCTGCTTGTACTAGCCCAGACTTAAGCTGGTTTTATAGTGCTAGCCCACTGGGATACCATGCCGCAGTGAAGCATGAATACCCCACTCAGACACATTATACTGACTCCGAGCCGACCAGTCCTTGCTGTACCCATTAATGCTGAACACCAGGCAGGGACCAACAAGTATCATATTTTAACGTCTTTTGGTATGACGCAGTCGAGGATCGAACCCGCGACTTTCCGCTCTCCGCTTTCCGCTCTCTTCATGCATGTCTAGGTTTGTTTGTTGAATGAATGAAGGAAACAAGAAAACTTGGCACCCAGAGAGAGACACTGAGAGTTTTTGGTTTTACGCCGCTTATAGCAATATTCCAGCAATATCACGGCGGGGAACACCAGAAATGGGCTTCACACATTGTACCCATGTGGGGAATCGAACCCAGGCCTTTGGTGTGATGAGCGAACACTTTAACCACAAGGCTACCCCACCGCCCTACTGAGATGATATTAATTGATAATAATATAAAGGAAACACAAATGTTATGAGTAATTTTTACACCACAAAAATTATCAATCATGGTCACGGAAATTGCCGATCAATTTGGGTGAACCGGGTTGCGAAAAATGTATCGCTATATATCGCATTTTGAAGTTCGAATTGCAATATACCAGTTAACCAGTATTATCCCCCACCCCTACCCATATGGCTGGAATATTGCTGAGTTTAGGGATAAACGGACCAGTGAATTATCCAAATCAATCTGAGAAATACATGTGTAATTATACTATCCACTATCTCTGTATTTTACAAATATAACAGATCAATGCTCATGCTGTTGATCACTGGACTGATCATACTGCCATTATAATTGTTTTGCCATTCAATTGTTTTACTGCCAGTCTTCTGAGTGTGGAAATTGTAATTACTTAGTAATTTGCATAGTGAGTGAGTTGAGTTTTACGAGACATATATTCCAGCTATATGGCGTCAGTCTGTAAATAATCGAGTCTGGACCAGACACTTCAGTGATCAACATCATGAGTATTGATCTGCGCAAATGGGATATAATGAAATGTGTCAACCAAGTCAGCAAACCTGTCCACTCGATCCCATTAGTCCCCTCTCAGTAAATTGTATAATGAAATTGTTAATTGTAGGACATTTCTTAATCATTTGTTTCATTTACAGATTTCTGGGTTAACTTTGTGTCTCTGGAAATCAACACACAACACAAAGAGCAACAACAACATTGCGTTTCTCCAGTTTGTGGTCCTCTATCAATCAAAAAAGAAGAAAAAGTAATATGTAGAGATGGTAGGCTGTTTCACATACAGGAGATGGTAGTCTCTCTCTCGTCTAAGAGACCACAGGCTGTCTCACGTACAAGAGACCACAAGCTGTCTCACGTACAAGAGACGATAGGCTGTCTCACGTACAAGACACGGTAGGCTGTCTCACGTACAAGAGATGGTAAGCTGTCTCACGTACAAAACACGGTAGGGTGTCCAACATACAAGAAACGGTAGGCTGTCTCACGTACAAGACATGATAGGCTGTCTCACGTACAAGAGAAGGTAGGCTGTCTCACGTAAAAGAGACGGCAGGCTGTCTCACGTACAAAAAGACGGTAGGCGTCTGACGTACACGTTACGTCTCTCACTGGTGATGAATGGTTTCAAATGACAGATATATTGAACATACCGGCTTATACCTGGATCTGTAGCCCTTTCCTTCTAAGTGACGATCCCAATCTTCAATCTTTTGTTTCCTCTTTTCTTCCTCTTTCTGTCACAAAAAATCAGGCAGTGAGTATGCTTTTATGCTGCTTTTAGCAATATTCCAGCAATATCACGGCGGGACACCCAAAATGGGCTTCACACTTAGTACCCATGTGGGGAATCGAGCCCGTGTCTTCGGCGTGACGAGCAAATGCTATATTTCGTGCTACTTCACACAATTTAGGAAATTGTTGCAAATTTAAAAAAATGTAAAGTTTGAAACTTAAATTACAACGAAAAATGAACCCCACTTTCTATTTATTTGTCCATCATATAGCTTTCTCAGGCAAAGACTGACTGACTGACTGAGTTTGGTTTTACGTCGCTTTTAGCAATATTCCAGCAAATGGGCTTCACACATTGTACCCATGTGGGGATTCGAACCCGGGTTCTTGGCGTGATGAGGCAACGCTTTAACCGCTGGGCTACCCCACCACCACCCCAGGCAAAGATATTTAGCAAGCAAAAACATTTCAGTGTGTGACATCAAGTGACTGATTGTATTAAACTCAATGACTGAGACACAGACATCTGCATTCTTGACAGACACGAATGAAACAGATGTGAAATATAAAATTGATTTCACATGTTAGAACATGATAAATTCGATCAATGACACTGTACCTCTGTTTGTACAAAACAGCCTGTGATCTACAAGTACAGATAATAACGTCTCCCAGGAGATTTGCGCAAGGCAAACAAGGGTAAAAAAACCATGAGCAACAATCAAAACAAAAAGGCACAATGCCCTGGCATCCCTAGGTGTAATACAAAGCCCATACCTTTCTCTGTTTCTCTGCATATTCTTCTGCCTGGGCATTGAGCTGTTCCTGCATACGCTGTCGAGACTGTTCCATGGCCTCAAGGCGGCTCTGAGCCACACCTACATCTGGAGTAAACAATCAGTTTGAAAGTTTTACGACAGAGATACAAGACTTCTTTAACAGTAATCATCAGCGGATTCCCTACATGGGTACAATGTGTGGAGCCCATTTCTGGTGTCCCAGAAAGATGATATTGCTGGGATATTGCTAAGATTGGCATAAAACCATACTCACCCATTTTAGTGGACATAATGTGGAGTGAGTGAGTGAGTTTAGTTTTACGCCGCATTCAGCAATATCCCAGCTATATGGCGGCGGTCTGTAAATAATCGAGTCTGGACCAGACAATCCAGTGATCAACAGCAAGAGCATCGATCTGCGCAATTGGGAACCGATGACATGTGTCAACCAAGTCAGCGAAACTGACCACCCGATCCCGTTAGTCGCCTCTTACGACAAGCATAGTCACCTTTTATTTATGGCAAGCACATGGGTTGCTGAAGACCTATTCTATCCCGGATCTTCACGGGTCTGAATATAATGTGGATCCCCCTAAATGCAATCTCCTTAATATCAGACTTTGGTACTTGCTACTGCAACACATATTGGTGCAACCACTACAGGTCACTTGACATTTGCTCATCCAGAGTATCAGTCAACAGATTATGAAATTACAGTCTAAATGCATAGTTTCATCACACTTCTTCATAAGAACCATCATCACTAGGGCTGCAACGAATACACTATGTGGCAAATATGATACGTATCATGAATATTGGGTAACGAATACGAATAATTATTCATGAATACAATATTGTAGTTAATAGTGGTGTTCCGATTAATTGAAATAATCGAAGATTGGTCGAAGTGACCAAATGACCAAGCAATCGATCACATTTTCTCATAATCGAACACAAACGATTTTGGAACTGCTGTTTTAGTCTTTGAAACACTTGACGAATGAACATATCTTCCAAGTTGTCAGGGCCTGAAAACTTGTTTAATTCTTAGAAAACTCACTTCACTAACTGAAAAGTCATGACTGAATATTTCTTAAAGACTCTAGGATGTTTATGTTCATGATATATTAGTCATCACTTTTAAGTAGCAAGTTGCATCATGTTATACATATCTGCAATAACAACCTGGATAGGAAAATCTGACAATGACGCTAACCAATTTTTTTCGATGATTGTTCGTTGGTATTGAAGCAATCATCAATTGTGAGATTTTAACTAATTCCCAACACTAGTAGTTAGATGATTGAAGTACAAAATGGAACGCCCATGTTGACAGTTCAATTTGTCACAGCAATAACCAGTGATCTCATGACACTCAAATTTGGTATGTAATAGTTATTGATGACATTACCATGTGCGGCCTTGGCAAACTAACATGACTTGCACTACTGCAATGCTAGTACATGTTCCATTCTTGCATATCTCACTTTGGAAAGGACATAAGGGTTCAAGTAAAACATGCTCCCTTAAAAAAATTGTAAATATTCGTTAATATTTGGTTCTGGTGACCACGAATAATGAATTGAATTCATGAAGGGCTACGGGTCGATTCACCGAATATGCGAGTGAATCGTAACAGCCTTAATCATCACCACCATAAATTATGAATGGTCCCTAACATATTACAGTTCACCTTTGCTAAATCAAACATTTATATTAAAAACAACATGATGAAGTTATCATAACATTAATTTGATAATTTTTAGATGACTTGTACAGGGCTTGGAACTAAAACTTGGTCTATGAATAAAAATGTCAGCTTACCATATTTCTTGTAGCTCTCTTCCTCTCGAGATTTCTGCATCTTGTCCCATGATGCCTGGAACTTTTTCCGCAGGTAAAGAAGGAGTAGAACACCAGCAAGCAGGAACCAGCCGTAGGTCTGTATCACCTCCACACCTGAAACACATGCTCACAGACATCAGAATTTGTAGGGTGTGGTGTGTGTGCGTGTGTGTGTGTGTGAGACACAACATAGTACAGGGCTCCAGATAAGGGCCGTATCGGCGTATGTACGGATATAAAATAAGCACGATACGGTAGGAAATAATTTAGAAAACATTGCAGATACGCACCACAGCAATGGTGTACGATCTTAGAATCATTTACAGACGTATTTATCTGAAAAAGTATTGTTTCATTGTTTATTGACCTGTTTACACAAGAGTAGCAATGTTGTGGTGGATATATGAAACGAAACACAACATTACTGATACTCCATTAAATTCCATTCAGTACTCTAAATGAACTTTTACTGTTTTCCAATACTCCTATATTGAAAAAATAAGGAGTACGTACTCCTGATCATGAAAAATTATCTGGAGCCCTGATAGTATAGACATGTTAATTCCCTCAGCAGGACGATAAAGGGATGTTTGCTAGTATAGATGTGTCAGTTCCTCAAGGATGATAAAGACAAGTTTGGTAGTAGGGCTGTGAAATGTAATTTTTGGAGTAAAATTGATATTTTATACTTATCCTGACTCATGCTCTTTTTGCTTGTCTTCTTCTTCTTGCGAACATAGTGGAACACTTGTATCTCCCTAATTGAAGCTCCCTTCAATTTAAAATCACTAATTAGTATTCACCACGAGTTACCTCCTTTCCACAAGCGCGGGAACGAGGGCGCCACCTCTACCCATGTGCCTCACTCTCTCCTCATATACTGAGCCCAACATTTGAATTTACAGGGAAATCCAAAGTGTTATTTGGGGAGGATGGGAGGGCTGACCTCATGAGTCAGGATAAGTATAAAATATCAATTTTACTCCAAAAATTACATATTTTTCCTTATCCTGACTCATGCTCTTTTTGCTTGTAGCATCCTACGGAACGGAGGTGGGAATATCTAATACTTTGGATTTTTAATAATTAGTGATTTGAACTGTGATGATTGTAATAACCCTATGGGAACTTCATAAAGGCACTGAACTGATGAATTCCTGCTGCTAACTTATCAGCTGCCATATAAAAGGTTATTACCATGTACTTATTATGATAAAGTATATATAACATTAATACAATGCTTAAGACTAATAGACTTAAGCTTGTTAATATGCTAGTATAAACTCCTTAGAGTTTGTTAGCTAAAATACTTTAAGATATAACATAGTACTAAGCTTAAGATATGATTAAACTTAAGCTAATTATATAATAGCAAACTCTTTAGAGTTTGTTAGTTAATATACTTATATGATATAGATATAATGCTGAGCTTAAGATATGAATAAGCTTTAGCTATATATATAATAGCAAAAACTCTGTAGAGTTTGTTAGCTAATATATTTTTATAATATGAGTATAGTACTGTGCTTAAGCTATAATTAACTTAAGCTACATATATAATAGCCAAACTCTGTAGAGTTTGTTAGCTAATATATTTTATAATATGAGTATAGTACTGTGCTTAAGCTATAATTAACTTAAGCTACATATATAATAGCCAAACTCTGTAGAGTTTGTTAGCTAATATATATTATAATATTAGTATAGTACTGAGCTTAAGATATAATTAACTTAAGCTACATATATATAGCAAAACTCTGTAGGGTTTTGTTAGCTAATATATTTTACAATATGAGTATAGTAGTGTGCTTAAGATATAATTAACTTAAGCTACATATATAATAGCAAAACTCCGTAGAGTTTGTTAGCTAATATATTTTACAATATGAGTATAGTAGTGTGCTTAAGATATAATGAACTTAAGCTACATATATAATAGCAGAACTCCGTAGAGTTTGTTAGCTAACATATTTTACAATATGAGTATAGTATTGTGCTTAAGATATTATTAACTTAAGCTACATATATAATAGCCAAAAAAAAAAACTCTGTAGAGTTTATTAGCTAATATGTTTATAGTGTAACCATAGTACTAAGCTTAAGATAAGATTAGACTTAAGCTAAATGTATATAGCAAAATAAACTCCTTAGAGTTTATTAACTAATATACTTTTTATGTTAAAAACATAGTACTGAGCTTAAGTTATGATGAAACTTAAGCTATATATATATAATAACAAAACTCCGTCGAGTTTTGTTAGCTAATACCTTTATAATGTAAACATACTGCTTAAGATATGATGAAAACTTAAGCTAATTGTATAATAGCGAAAACAACCCTTTAGAGTTTGTTAGCTATGATATAAACCTAGTATTGAGCTTATGAAGGAAAACTTAAGCTACATATATAATAGCAAGAACTCCGTAGAGTTTGTTAGCTAATACATGTTATAATGTAACCATAAAGCTTAAAATATGATGAAACTTAAGCGAAATATATAATAGCAAAACCCTCTTTTAGAGTTTTGATAGCTAATATACCTATATGATATAAACATAGTACTGCGCTTAAGATATGAATAAGCTTAAGTTACATATATAATAGCTAAAACTCTGTAGAGTTTGTTAGCTAATACATGTTATAATATAACCATATTGCTTAGAAATATGATGATACTTAAGCCAAATAGCAAAAAACTCTTTAGAGTTTGTTAGCTAATCTACTTATATGATATAAACATAGTACTAAGCTTAAGATATGAATAAGCTTAAGCTACCTATATAATAGCAAAACTCCTTAGAGTTTGTTAGCCAATATATTTTAATAATATGAGTATAGTACTATGCTTAAGGTATAATTAGCTTAAGTTACCTATATAATAGTAAAACTCCGTAGAGTTTGTTAGCTTAATTAACTTAAGCTATGTATAAAATAGCCAAAAACTCTGTAGAGTTTGTTAGCTAATGCATTTATCATGTAACCATAGTATTACTCTTAAGATATGAATAACTTAAGGTAAATATATATAATAACAAACTCTGTAGAGTTGTTAACTTATATATTGTATGATGTAATAATCATAGTACTGTGATGATAAAAGGAACTTAAGTAAATTATATATAGCATGAAGCTATTTAGTATTGTTATAAGATAAGTAAAAATCTGTTAGATTGACTTATCTTCTCCGAGGAACTGTCAGCTGTTGTGCGAGGACCATGGGATCGAATTGGTGTATACCTGAGACGTCCTCGGTGGTGATATCTCTCAGATAATGGTTTGCAACCACCATATCGGATTTCCAGAAATAAACCCTCCATTATTTCAATCACATTTGTGTAGAACAATTCTAGAAGTTAGCGCTATAATATCATGAGTATTAAGCTCATGGAGGGTCGGAATAGGTCCATCCGCATATGCACGTAGTATGACAGTTCTGATCCAAATGGAGATATAGTACATGAGACTTCACTCTGCGTAAGTTGATGATAGAGGAAATAATCTGTTGCATTTTTTTTTTCTCCTGTTTGGTTTGGTGGAGATAAATTTACAGTGCTCTTGCTGGCCATCTTGATAGAATCATCGTATCATGGGGTCCAAGTATGTCATCCAGGCGTGTTCATAAACCTCACTTGTGAGGTGTTGGAGCACTATATTCATATCCCCAGGTTGGGCGTGAAATTTCCGTTTTATTCTCCAAACAGAAGTTTAGTAGGTTTACTAACCATCTAGTTGTGTTAGTCGCTTGATGAAATTCAGCTGTAGTCTGAAACGCTGTGGATTTAGATCCACTTGTATCTTTCGTCTAGGTAATTCGCTGCGAAGTCCTTGACGATGTAGGTGCACAACCAGGTGTGTCTGTCCTCGTTGAACTTTATGTAAAATCGCCTGACTGCCGATCCCTCGTCTTAACTTGACAGGGGAGGTCTCTAACTTGAAGAAAGGCAGTCTAATCATGAATGTTCAGGTTAACTGGACTGTAATGAGGCTTGCTCGTTCACTGATATATAGTTGTCACTTGTGACGTAAGTGTTGAACTGTGAACAGAGATCGACCTCTGTGTAGGTCGTTGTCCCTCGCGGTCCAATCAGAACAAGGCATTTTGATTCTGTATAAATACCCGCGCTGTGATGTCACCGGTGTAGCGGGAAAAAACCCACCTTGAATAAATTCTTGTCGTCGTTGATATTAGCATAAACGTCGGTCTTCACCGTAGCTTCCCGAAGTTATCCGAGTGACCACGTGTTTCGAGGGTTAATGGTAACCGCGCGAAACCTCCGGCGCGAAATATCTTGCTCTGTAATTTTATGCTGGGTAGGTTATTTTCCTGGTTGTCGTGAAAATAATTTCAGTTTTGAATATAATTCCGACTTCCTTATATATAAGGGTATAAACAACTTGCAAGTTGTGAGCTTGTAGACTGTATACATGAATGTATCGTCATAATTGTAGAATTAACGTTGAACTTGTTGTACATATTTCTTCTCAGAAACTTTGACGATTAAGAGTTATACTCGCTGTAACAAGGCTGCTGTTCAATTTCGATATTGAATTGTCTGCAGATATGCGTAATGGTCACGCATGTAGATAATCGTATCGTCGTCCGGGATTGTATATTAGCAGTTTATACGGAATAGTTGATTTCTGTGAAGATCTGTGAAATGTCGTTGACTAATAATACAGCGACGTTCTGTGTTGTAAATAGCCTAAGCAATTATCTTCGCGTAGGCTTATAGACGGCATCTGGCATACAGTTGATAATCAACTTATGCGACGTCTTGAACGGACTGACGAGTAGCTATATATGACGAGTGGCTAGTATATGGAAACCTTGGAGGAGACTTCCTCGGTGAACGCCGGAGACTTCGCGAAGTTCTCGAAGTATCCCTTCTAGATCTTCTGGGTGAAGTAGACTTGGAGTTACTTAGCCTTCGCGACCATCGCGAAGGTGTCGAGTCAAAGCCCGATTAGTATATATATATATATATATATAAATATATATATGAGCGCTTGCTTCGTGAACAGCCTCTGTGTGTATAACAGGATGTGGGATCGTGAAGCGCTTGCCTAAGTAGGGCCGCATGGATCATCTTATCATATTCAGAAGTCGGTATTTACGAAGTCTGGTGATAAGTGTCTTATTGATCGTTGTAGATCTATTTAGGCCAGCGAACATACGTCTCGTCATGGATTCAACAGAACCAATATACGATTGTAGTTCTTATACTTGATATCGATGATCAACTTGTCTATGGGTTGATCTTCTCGGAGACTTGTGAGGGGAACGTTGATAGTTTCGCTGAAGCTCTTGTATAGTCCCTCGATGTCCTTCTAGATGATGATGATCTGGATTCAGGTGTCCTTCGCGCATGCCTTCGCGAAGCTTCCTCTGCGTCCGGTCCGGGGGAACGACGATATGACCTTCGCGAAGGCTTCCGTGATGTCTGATGGTCCGAGTCCACATCTAGGGATGAAACCGCATAAGGTGATGATCTATCCTGCCTTCGCGAAGTCCTTCGCGAAGGCTGTACATCTAGGTTCTTTCCGCCTTCGCGAAGGCTGTACATCTAGGTCCTTTCCGCCTTCGCGAAGGCCTTCGCGAAGGCTGTACATCTAGGTCCTTCGTCAAGGTGGTCCGTGACTTCCTTCGCGAAGGTGACATCGTCCTGGCTGCTACGTTGACGGGGGGTGCCTCTGGGGTGCTGTCTACGTTGGAGCCTTCGCGTTGCTCGGACCCTGCTACCGCGAGATATTGGTCCTCCATGATGTTCATAATTTGTCGCATCATGTCTTCTGGGATGGTCTGCGACGAGGTCGTCGGTGCTTTATCTCTGCGGTGTTAATGGAGGGGTCCACCGGAAAATCGTCCGACATCAGTGTAGAGGCATCAGGCTGCATGGTGATCTCTGCTGATGTCGTTGTAGCTGTCACCGGTCGTTTCTTGTGGCGTACGTCGGGGATGATGATCAGCTGATCATCGTAGAGGTCCAGGTCATCGGTTGGAACAATCTCGGTTGAGAAAGTCCTAGTAGACTTCGTTGATTTTCCCTCAGAGGTCGACGCTGCCCTGGGTGTGCGACGTCTGCGTTGAGTGTTGGTAATGATGGGACCCTCAGGACGATCATCGCATATCTGCGTTGGTACATCAGGCTGCATGCTGATCTGTGCCGACATCGGTCAATCTTTGATGTACAACCGGTATGATGACCGGCTGATCATCATACAGGCCCAAAACTTCGATGGGAACGGTCTCGGTTGTTGAGATGTAGTAGAAAAACCCTCTAGTCTTCTGCTGCGACGATGGGATGTCTGGGGAAGCAGGATGCTTCTTGGAGATGGCGGACTACGTCCCACACCTCTCCACCACTCTAGCGGAACACCACACGGGAAGGGAGTCGGCCAACAGCAGTAGACTGGCGAGGGGTTCCGTGTATCAGTCATACTAGACTCTGCATACGCGACCTATCTGCTGTGCGTGCCAAACGCAAAGTAAATAATAATAAAAAGGTAGAATTGGATAAATTAGTACCGCAACTGCAGTGTGAATATAATAAACATGGCGCCGTACATCATATTAAAGGCGGATCAGCAGCAGCATAAAAAACGTAATCTGCAATAGTACAGAATTTTCATCAACGTAATCCACTGAAACAAACACGGCGTCCCGTGAATAAACTGTAGAAAAACGACTAAATATCAATATATAATCGTTGAAGGATACTAGCTAAACCTCTATAGATGTCTATACGAGGTAACTAACTAAATATAAATCAAAGGATATAGTGTGTCGGGAGACACAGGCGCTCTCACGTCCAGCTCACTGGGCGAAGAAGGAGAGAGTGAGGCACATGGGTAGAGGTGGCGCCCTCGTTCCCGCGCTTGTGGAAAGGAGGTAACTCGTGGTGAATACTAATTAGTGATTTTAAATTGAAGGGAGCTTCAATTAGGGAGATACAAGTGTTCCACTATGTTCGCAAGAAGAAGAAGACAAGCAAAAAGAGCATGAGTCAGGATAAGGAAAAATTATACTTTTATTTCTGTTGGTTTCATGTAACATTTTACAAGTGGAAGTGTCTTTATAAGTGGCACCTAAAGTGCCAAATATTCTACAGGCTGATTTAAGTTTTGTGGGTTGGAATGGTTTTATATGTGACGTTTTGGAGGAATTAAGTGGCCTCAAATGGACCAATCTTTTAATAAAAGCACGATTTATGGTTTGTCAAGATGTCAACATCTTGTTGTGAATTACATGACGTTTCGGAGTGTATGCTTGCTCCTTCATCAGGTCATGAAGGAGTAAGCATACACTCCGAAATGTCGTGTTATTCACGAAAAAGAAGTTGACACTTATAAATCTTGCTTTTCTTATGCATTCAACTTTTAAATGCCCTTCAAAGATTTGACCAATCTTTTATTTGGACTTATTTGTAGAGGCTCTGGCTCTGAGTGACCATTTCACAATTCACATTGTTTTGTTATTTTTGTTTGTTTCATATATGGTCCATTTTCCCCCCCAAATTTTCCCCAAATTTCCTTTGTACAGCCCTGGGCGGCTTTCCGGAAAATCCTGGTATGTTATGAATTTATCATAAAGGCCAAAGTCTTATAAATCTTGTAGGACTGTATAATGACATTCTAGTCAAGGATGTTAGTTATTGGAGGTCACGTGAGATTGTAAGCTGAAGTAGTTCACCTAAATCATGTTTTTGTTTCAGTTTGCAATAGTTCATGTTAACACATGTTTACACTGGAGTTGAATCTGAATGAATCACTGACATACCGTAACAATAATTACATACTGCATTGAAGTGCATTCGGTTGAAGCAAACAACACTGACCATGAAAATCATGTTATACTTTGACCTTTTTCATTATGTTCGCAAAACGTTGTTGTAATACAATACTTCAATTAAACAGGCTCTATATCATTCTATTTATCTGTAAACCATTGGCATACATCCATACACAATGGGGACGGGGAGCCTGATAGTATGGTATAACAGCAACTAAGAAGATGATGTCACACACAGACAGCTACTATGAATTTTTTATGTACGCACTTGGACAGAAACCTTCCAGTCAATATATCACAATATGTATTGCAATTCCCTTAAATTATTGCAATATATCACAATATGAGAATCAGGGCAATATGCAGCCCTATTTGGTATAAAAAATTTGTCGACTTAAAAGGATCATAAAAGGGTGTTTGCAAGTAAAACAGTATCAATTCAATTGGATCGTAAAGGGGGTGTTTGCCTGTAAAGATGTGTCAGATCCCTAAGGTGAGGTGAGGTGAAATTGGGTTTAACGTCGTGCTTGAGAATATTTCGCTTATATGACGACGTGCATGCGTGTGTATGTGTATGTGCGGCTGCTTGTACTAGCCCAGACTGAAGCTGGTTTCATAGTGCTAGCCCACTGAGATACCATGCTGCAGTGAAGCATGAATACCCCACTCAGACACATTATACTGACTCCGAGCCGACCAGTCCTTGTTGTACCCATTTATGCCAAGCGCCAGGCAGGGACCAACAAGTACCATATTTTAACGTCTTTTGGTATGACGCGGTCGGGGATGGAACCAGCGACCTTCCGCTCTCCGGGCAGACGCTCTAACCACTACACCACGGAGGTGGTCTAGATCCCTAAGGATGGTAAAGGGGTGTTTGCTAGTAAAATGGTGTCGGCTCCCCTAAGACCCAGGGAGTGGGACTTAAGCCCAGTGTGGGCCAGGTTGGCAATATTATAACAAGGCAGTGGGAGCGCTATAGTGAAATAATTCCTCTTTTAAGACCAGGCCTGTTTCACTCCAACTAATGCACCAAGAATAATTATCTTTCTGTAACGCATGATCTATATTTGAATGACCCTCCCTATGTTATATATAGCTCCAGATAAGATTTAGCTCATGTGGGTACTGTACCCACTGTATTTTTCTGGAGTGGGTATTATGAATGTTGAGTGGGTATTTCATTTTCCGTTACCCACTGCTTTCAAATATGTGCGTATTTCAGTCATTTCACTCACCTGAGTATTATGTCATTGAGTAAGTTTACTAAGCAGGTATGTTTTGCCTTATGTCATCATACCTAATCAAAACCAACTTAAATATAATGGAAATAATTTCATAAAAAATCACTCATCCTATACTGACAGTACAACACTAGTCCTATACTAACAGTACAACTTGATAGCAATCCATGTCTTTTTCATTACGCAACCGATTTTCATAAATATATTCCGTACCCATTTGTTTTAAACTTTTTGCGTATCTAACATTTTAAATGAGTAATTGGTATGCAACAATTATATTTCAGTGTGTAACTGAAAATTTTCTATGCGCATTTTACCCTGATACGCAGCTCATCTGGGCCTCTGTTATATACTCTTTTCAGGACTGTGTGTGTGTTTAGTTTTACACCACACTCAGCAATATTCCAGCTATATATGTTTGTAAATAATCGAGTCTGGACCAGACAATCCAGTGATCAACAGCAGGAGCATCGATCTGCGCAATTGATAACCAATGACATGTGTCAACCAAGTCAGCGAGCCTGACCACCCGTTCCCATTAGTCGCCTCTTACGACAAGCAACCCGCCTCTAACCCGGACCTTCATGGGTAACTTTTTTCAGGACCCATAGTGGAAGACAATGTATGATAAAGCACTTATATACATGTTCATTTCCTCCAGACCATCCCTAATTATGAGTAGTTTTGTTTTGTTGTTTTTGGTTTGGTTTTTTGTTGTTGTTTTTTTTGGGGGGGGTGTATTACCCTCCACAACAAAGCTGTCATTTTGGTGGATGACCACCCTCTCACCCCAATGCCAAGCCATTCCCCCGTCCTAGCCAAAGTACATGACAGGCAAAATGCTAGTCTGTCACACAGACCATGATTCAAATATATCCAAGAAATCCCATGCAAGTCTTGGATGCGTTAATTACTGAGACGAGATGTTAGTCTAGCAAAATACCTGTAGAAAACACGTTGGTGACTAAAGCTGGATTTTCATTTCGTAAAACTTCTGGATGAGGATTCCCATCTCCGCCAACATCTCCCATGGTGCGAGACCGTATTTGACCACGGTGCAGTCACTATCGACGCTGTTCACCTTATAATACGTGTTCTAGTACATCGACAAACGAAAACACGAATCATCAAAACAAAACTCGGCACGTCACAGGAAGTTAACACAAACACACCTCACTTCTAGAGACATCTAAAGGGAGATAACTCGAGATCAAACTTGCTCATTTTGAGATGACTGAAAAGATGAACCGAAAAACTGTAGGATTAGCACAATCTCCTCTTTTTATAATATATATGTGGTTCATGCCATTTAATAATAATTCACACGTAGAATGCGCTTAGGGGGAGATGCGCACACATCCCGAAACACACTTTTTGAAAAGCAAACATTTACTGCCAGCAACGCTGTTCGGACTCGTCAGCAGCTAAAATTTGTATAGTAAATTGACAGCATATGATTTTGTTGAATTACGAACTACGTGGACGGATCAAGAGGTGCGCGCGCGTGTGTGTGTGTGTGTGTGTGTGTGTGTGTGTGTGTGTGTGTGTGTGTGTGCATGTGTGTGTGCATGTGCGTGTGCAGGGATGCCCATCAGTTATCAGACTTCCTTTTTTGGGTGGAAGCTACGGTAGCTGAGTGGATCGCAAACATTGTGTGCTGGCCATAAGTTCTTGACGCATCACTCTCACAGTCATAGACCCCATGTGTTTTATAGAACTTTGAGATTATGTGTTGTGGTCATTCCGTTTAAACAAATACTTTGAAAACTATATGCGTGTATATGCATGCCCGTATCATAGCTACGATATGTTTTGTTGTTTTGTTGTTAACGCCGCACTCAGCAATACTGCAGCTATATATATATGGCGGCGGTCTGTAAATAATCGAGTCTAGACCAAACTATCAAATGTTAAGTTATCAACAGCATGAGTATCGATCTGCGCAATTGGAAACCTGTGACATGTGTCAACCACGTCAGCGAGCCTGACCACCCGATCCCGTTAGTCGCCTCTTACGACAAGCATGGGTTACTGATGGCACATTCTAACCCGGACCTTCACGGGTCACATTTCAGGAAAGAATTGAAGTATTATTTTCTTGTAGGAAAAGCCAGATATTGCAATGAATCAAAGTTCAATGAATCCGAAAGCAATGTATGTAAAACTTGTGTTAGTGATTAGTTCAATGTTATGGTAGTGAATGCATGGTTATAAATGAGAGAGCGAGTGATATGTCTTTGCTTATTTCTTTTATATTTTTTATTTTATTTTTAATTTATTTATGTTTTTTTAATGTTTTTTTTTCTTATTTTTTCTATTATTTCTTTTCCTCATGTAGTTTAAAAGAATCTGTACTTTACTGAGTAAGTGTCACCCCAAACATAACATGTTACATTTGACCACTTTCTGAAAAACACTATTGATTGATTCCAACCAGTTTCTGTCCCTGTAGTGGTGCTATGCGACGGATTTTGTCCATATGTCAGGATATCTATTGTAAATTAATTATTGTATTAAATCTAAATAGGAATCTGATGTGATTTTCTAATGAACTTGGAATGCATTTTTACCTTATAACAGTGTTTAAAGCTCACAACATTCCAAGCCAGACAGCCGGACTGGTAACTTTTTTACATTACCAGTCCGGATACAAACTTGCCTGTCCGGTTTTCAACAATAAACTGAAATTACACGTGTTGTGATTGGTTATCGTAACATGAACTGTCCAATCGTAAGTAGTTTAACATAATTTTCATAATACCTCAAACACCTCAAACTGACGACAACAGATAATGTCGTTTTTTTTTAAATTTGACCGTCCGAGCTGAACATAAACTGTTCCGGACGCTCGGGCAGGCGGGAATTTGAAACGCTGCTTATAACACACCAGAAATGGGTTTCCCACAATGCGACCTCGTGGGGAATGAACCTGGGTATTCCGCGTGACAAGTGAACGCTTTAACCACAAGGATGCCCCTTCCGGTCAGTTTAGCTCCCGAGAAGATCCGGAGTAGAAGTGCTCTTCAGCAACCCATGCTCTGAGAGAGAGAGAGAGAGAGAGAATTTGTATTCAGTAAAGGGGCCACAGGCCCATTATACATCAGGTGTACAGAATATACAATCATTAGAGCACCGTACAACATCATGAGAGCTGCACAATTATACATTTGTGGGTACGAAGACTGAAAGAAATTTATTTCGTATTTTCATGGCAAAAAATAGATATTTTGCAAGACAATTTATAATATAAGTATTCTTTGATGTAAACAACTGGGCTAATTTCACTTCAGATGGATATATGTGATAATATTTAGGGAGGATATCATTTCTTAATTTCCCATAAAAAGGGCATTCAAGGCAAAAGTGATATTCACTTTCTATGTTAGGCATGATACAAAGCGGGCACAGGCGATCCTCCCTTTTAAGACCTAAATGTCTACCGTACTCTATCATCAAATTGTGGTTTGAGCAACGAATGCTTATCTTAAGAGTCGACTAACATGATTGGGTGGTCAGGCTCGCTGACATGTATTCGCATCCCTATTGCGAAGATCGATGCTCATGCTGTTGATCACTGGATTGTCTGGTCAGACTCGATTATTTACAGATCGCCGCCATATAGCTGGAATATCGCTGAGTGCGGCTCTACACACCAACCAACCAACCAGTATATTTAATGAGAGCTTGTTATGCCTTTGTCAAACACACACCATCTGTTACGTTTGTAAGGACCCTCCGACATGAAAGCATTGATTAATGTTCACGTTTTCATTGCACGCAATATACCACAACTCCAGTCAAGGTAGTGGACGTATATGTATAAAGGTAAGCAAATGTATTTAAACTTATCTTTAGTGAAGATTTAAATTTTAGCACTTCATCACAAAATATTTATTCTGTTTACTTAACTCTGCATTTTATTAGGACTTTTGAGGGAAGAGATGGGGGATAAAAGTTGTTGTTTCAGATGTTGTCATATGTATTGCGTAATATTTGGGCTCCAAGTGACACATGTAATATTTCATTTCATAATAAGCAAAGTTATTAATAAGCGAAAGAACAATAATCAAAATATTTGTAAGATGTCTCTCGTTATAGTTATAAAAGTGACTGGATGTTTGCGTGTTTTCATTTACGTTTGTACCCGTGAAGGTCCGGGTTAGAATGCGCCTTCAGTAACCCATGCTCGTCGTAAGAGGCGACAAACGGGATCGGGTGGTCAGGCTCGTTGACTTGGTTGACATATATCATCGATTCCCATTTGTGCCGATGCTCATGCTGTTGATTACTGGATTGTCTGGTCCAGACTCGATTATTTACAGACCGCCGCTATATTGCTGGAATATTGCTGAGTGCGGCGTAAAACTAAACTCACTCACCAGAAAATCACAGATACAGATGTAAAACTAGCATGTAAAACTGAAACGTCTGACAATACAACATCTAACAAGCTACCCATTGTCAACAACTGACGATAGATCACCATACTGAGGTCCAGCGAGATGAAGCTAGAAACGGATTCGGGATTGGGGATTCGAATCCCGAATCTGATTACTTTTTCATATTTGGGATTCGAATCCCGAATCTGAATTTTCATTCATATTCGTTTTTTTCTTTTGCACATTCGGCACTGGGCATTTGGTATTTGGTATTTGACTCTTATTATGCATTTCTTCAACACATCTGGAATTCGGAACTTCAGCGTCCTTGTAACTATACTCTTTGCACCTTCATCTGTCAAACCTATCTATCCTCGACGTTGCCGTGCAGATAGTCAACGGTCCTGAAGCTCTTCTCTGATTGCAAGCGTCAACCCTCGATCACGACCGAGCAAAGACGAACAAGGTCAATATTCATTATTTCATCCCCCTTCTAATGTACAAGGTGCTCGTTGTGTACCTGGGTAACTTAAAAACATAAACAACCAAACTACAGTTTCCGATATTTGAACCTCAAATTTAGCTGTTTTAAAACAATCGGGTTTCGGGATTTGAATCCCGAATATCTGAATATATATTCACATTCGGGATTCGAATCCCGAATATGAACAAAATATTCAGATTCGGGATTCAAACCCCGAAACCTGAATGTTGAGAAAACTCAGATGGAAAGTGACTGGTGCTGAGCAGCAAAAAGAAAGCGTTTCCCATTTAAGACCAGCGGACTTCATCCAGGCGAAGGAGTCAGTTGGATTGCTATTCTGTTCCACACATTGCATGTACACACGATGCAATGGTTTCTCAGAAAGTTCTCTACAAATGACCGACTCTTGGCAAACTTGGTGAAGGACTTCACCTGGATTACTTCCATCGCTGTACCGTCCAGTAGAACATCGCCCTCAGCAAAATCAACCTCAACTTTCAGATTCTGTCCAACAAGCTGGGCACGCTTAAAATAGCTGTGAAATGCCTCACTTTCATCATGAGTCTTCACATGCATCACCAGAGGATCATCCGATAAATAAATATGTGCAAAAGTACACAATAAAATTATATCATGAAGAGCCTCCACATTAATCAAACCCGGACCTCCAGAACTTATTATACACGATTAAGAAAGGATCGAGGGTGGTGGGCTGTTATCAGACATGATCCTTCTGGTCTGCCAGTCTAGACTCTGGATGTCTTGTTTCGTCATTATTACCTTTATTATTGATACAATTTAAAAACGGGATATAGAGCACTAGTAGCTGAAGTTAGATCAGGAATGCTTAATATTAGCCATCACTTAAACACTTCTCTAGGATGAACATAGACGTGGGAGTACTAAGTTAAGATAAGATATATGGATGAACAACTTCTTTCCTTCCTGTAGATTCCAACACACTTATCAAGCAGGTGCTGCAAAGTGTAGTGTAGGGAGGGTATATACAAATACGAAGTTGCACATATTATTAAATGCAAACATTGTACAACGCTTTACCTGCAGATCATGGTATCAAAATACCGCATGCAACACATCATCGAAATTTGTATGTATTTTTTTTCACACTGTGGCCTTTTACATTTGACCAAATAACAAATCTAATTAAAAATTATTATTTCCTTGGGCCTCACTTGCTCAATGTCATTTATTCTGACAGCAGTGGAGTCGGGTG